TCCTTCTCCCCTCTCATTCCTCCTGGTTTGATCCACTCAGCTAGGCTAATTGTGTCTTATTCCCGTCCTTTAACTCGTGCTCTTTGCGTACGTGGCTAGCCGTCCCGGGCCATGCCATGATCATAGGTAAAGTGAATGCGGAAAACAGTTTATCTTTGCTATAAGTCACCCCCCAACATTTGCCTCTTCCAGCTCAAAGACAGAACAAAAAAATATTAAAATTATTCTTTAACTGTTTGGATCATTTGTTCTTCTTTACCCAAAACCGACTTCTCCCCTCCTTTACCGTGCTGATCCGGGGTCGGACATTGGCTCTGGTGGTCATCTATCACTCTCTCTGTTGGCTCGGGGAAAAAAAAAGCAAGCCACCCCCAGCATACTTGGGGGGCAAAGTCATTAGGTCCAGCAAACCAATTTTAATAAAACAGAGAACCTAATTTAGAGGACAAGAGACCAAAAATCCTCTAAAAAGCCCTCCACCGCCAAAATGTCAGATGAGCAAACCCTCGCTCAGCGGACAGCCTCGAGCTTCGATAGGCTCGAAAACTTCAACTTTCTTCTCTCTCGACACGATCCCAACCTGGCCAAGAGTCGACAGTACTCCTTTGACGCAGAATCGACAGCTTTGGCCTCCTTCCAGAACCTGAATATGGATTACGACCAGACCGAGGGGATGGGCGGCCTTTCCGTCAGTTCGTATGACAGCATTGAGGACGAGCGCAGTCCGATCGATGTGCGAGGATATCCGCATTATGGTAAGTCGGAAGCTTGGAGCTTTTCATAAATGACTCTCATTGTTGCATTGTTGGCGCCATCTTCAAGCTTTGTGGTTCGTTTTCCCAATCTCTGGCCCTACGGCGCTCCGATGGGATATGCTGGAGCTACTGCGGAATGCATGTAACAGCAAACGCTTGCCTCCTGTTTCTGGGAAACCGACGGGACTTTAAACCCATTACTATCGATTGATTGATTGATTGATTGTCTTACCTGGCTGCCTGATGGGGATTCCGTGGCTTTGCCATTCCCTTTTCTAACCGCCTCGTGCCTGTCTGTTGTCTTCTCTGTTGCTATCTTCCATTCTCCCCTTACTGCTGTTTCGGACCCAGCAATGATCAATGCATTGCGGGAGGGTGATTTCTCGAGTACTCTGGAGAAAGCAATCACCCTCCTCGTGCGCACTGGTTTGTTGCTGTTCTGACTGCTCATATTTTGACCAATCTAATTCCGGGGACGTTTGGTTGTCTGGTGATGAGTGCAATGCTCTATGTGAGCACGCAATCATCCACACCAATGACAACGTCGGGAACCTTGTCAGTGACGGACCCTTAAGCCAAGCTCTCATCCCTTGGTGTACCGGACCAAGATCCCCTTCCATGTGCCCCATATCTTGCTGCTTCCGCTTCCATTGTTCCTTCCCACCCCCCTTCCTCCATTCCACTGTGGCTTTTTTATCTTATCGCTTGCCGTCCTCTCCTCTACCTCTACCTTGGTGTTGACAGCTTCACAACAGATCAAATGCTTTCCTATCCAGCTCACCCACTCTACCCACCTATCTCATATGGGCCCCCAGATGATCTGGCGCAGGTCCCCGGGGCCCTGACTCCATCTGATGTCTCCTCGTCCATATCACCTCCCAACGGTGCTATCACAAACACCAAATACAGCACACAGATTCCTGGCGACCACCTCGCGTCGGCTCTCAATCAGGAAGAGGGAGTCCGCCGCGCCGCGGAAGAAGACCGCCGCCGCCGGAACACGGCCGCCAGTGCCCGGTTCCGCATGAAGAAGAAGCAACGTGAACAGGCGCTGGAACGCACCGTGCGCGAGACGACCGAGAGGAACGCCTCGCTCGAGGCTCGCGTGGCCCAGCTGGAGATGGAGAACCGATGGCTGAAAAACCTGCTCACCGAGAAGCACGAAGCCAGCTCGACCCGGCTGGCGCCGCCCCCGACCGACAGCAGCGCCTTGACTTCGAAAACATCCAGCGTCACCGGCTCTGGACAGAAACATATCCAGCCCAAAAAGAAGGGTGTGGGCACCGACAGCTGAGCCCGTGTCAAATCAAAAGAAATCGCATAAAACCTACTTTTTGATTCTCCACTCACGCGACATGTTGAGTCCCTTGCGCTTTGATTAGGTTGAGGATTCCGATTGACGCCGTGCTTCTTCGCATCTGTTTTTATCTATTTGTATGTTTCTCATACCTTTCGCTTCGAAAGGCCGGGGACCCATCCTAGGATGGAAAGTCGGATGACGATGTAATGACCTTTTGATTTTCTCTTTCAATATCCTTTACCTAGTGTGCACACCACCCACGCTTATTCTCATCATCATCATGTTGCGGTATATGAAGGCCAGTCATATACACGTGTGTCGTTTACTGAACATTTCCGGGTTATTACTATCAGGGCGGGATGGAGATCAGGACCAGGATCTGGAAGCCTCGATTGTGACCGTTTGCTATTTCTTTTCTCTATATATACATTTGTGTTTTGTGTTGTTTGTTTCGTTGTTTCCATCCAACGCGCAAATCGGAGTCCAGGGAATTGGGGGTGTTTATATTGACTTTCTTTTGGTTGTTTTCGAGTTGAGACCCACGCACGTACATTCTCGCATCTTCACTATCGTATGGGCTATAGCTATGAGATGGCGCTTTGAAGCCGGCCACCCCTGGGGACTTAGGGGCGAAGTGGTTTACCAGACTGAAATGAAAGAACAAGAAGAGCCCAATGGACAAACCTTCAATGAACGAGTTGCTTCAGTTTTCGGTGTCCAATATTCCCACACCAGGTAACTCCGTTAATTGGAGGGAATTATAGCCTCGTCTCAGGGCAGTCCATGAATGCAATCCCCATCAGGAATTGCGCCATCATGAACCTAAATCACACCAAACTCTAGCACCCCCACGGGGGAGATATCGGCTGGTCAGTTTGCAACAACTCAGCACTGTGGTCTACATGTACTGTACGGTACTTCTGCACTAGCCTCTCTGCACCTTACTCTAACGCAAGATGATTCGAGGGTACGCAGTACTCAGCTGAGGTGTCCGCTACCGCACACTGCACTAGACTATCACTCGGTGAGTTGTAGGCGATGAATAAATGATCCTCGATCTCTTCAAGGGCAGGACATTCTGCAGTGGTGTGACCGATGCAGGCGACTGACATCACCTCGGCCAGCACCCGCAACCCGCACCCGCACTCGGCATTCCTGCCTGAGGAATCTGGAGGCAGAATCGCGGGGACGGGCTGCCGGATTGGGAGCTGACTCTGTCTGCCCCGGGCCTGCGTTACTGAGGTGAGTACTTTATTGTCTGGCTCTGGCTATACCACTGTACTAAATGCCTGGCAGGATTAGTCAATATATAACTTACTAGGCATCGAGAGATGACACAGGCTGTTTGTGGACGTGCCTCTATACATTCAAACATGCTTACTTATACTTCCCCTCTCTCTAGCACAGTAACAGTACACTCCATGAGCCCAAAGCAGATCCTAACTCCCCTTTCTCATACATACCCACGCTCTACCCCCGAATAATCCCACATGACAGTAAGTGCTTCAACCACCAACCACCAACCGCCCGACGACAGCCCGCGACACCGGAGCCGGATGATCAGAGCATAGCTACACCGGACCAGAACGCAAGCTAGGAACTCCGGTCCTCGACGAATCTTGTAAGTCTATATCTAACATTATACCTATATCTATATCTGCTTCATGCTGTACTCGGCTGTACACCACGACAGTATATACCCGCCGCTACAGCCCTCAACTTCAGCCCTCAACTTCAGCAACCAGCAGCAGCACCAGCATCCCAACCACCCACCCATACATACCCCACCCACCATCCCAAGTCCCATGCCTTTGGACGTGACATCCGTACTCGGTCGATGCTAGTATCAGAAATAGTGAGATAAACGGGGAACAACAGAAAGATACCCTATCAAGAGATTACGGAGGGGAATTCGCGAGATCGAGGGGTTGTCCCTGTATGCGTCTGACGCCATGGCAGTGCTCATCTATGGAATGGAGTTGAGTCCGCGGATGGCTGAAATCCAGGTCGGGGGGATCATCGATAACCTTAGGTATCTTCTGGGGTCACATCTTTGGATGGGATGGTGGTGGGGATTCTTGTCTAGGCCAGCGGATGGGAAGATAGTGGGTGATCGGTTGTGTTGCGGTTGTGGCTGTAGGGCTCATCCATGCGGTACTGGTATGTTGTGGGGTGGTCTCTAGTTGTGAAGATGGTTGGTGAGAATGGTGATGCTGCGGTTGGAGGTCCTGCTTAGGGCTCATGCATTATTATTCAAGGGTTTGTGGCGGTTCCTAGGCCGGGATGGTCGTTATCGCTATACGGGTATCAGTGAGATGCGGTGCTGGGTTGGTGGGTATCTATCGTTTTCATGGTGAGAGGCGAATGGGCAATCTAAAGTACTTCTGTCTCTAGACCCCCCAGCCTTGAAGAGATGGATGGGCTCACCACGCTCTTGACCAATTTACTACAAGACCATACTTCAACGAAAACGACCGCAAGTCAATCGATTACTATTCAAATCCTAAACAACATGACTGCAATCAAGACGGAACACAACAGACGTGAAACATGTACCTCCCCATCACCGTCAACTTGGGCAAGTGGTATAGTATTACATTAGTCGATTAGGACAGTAGAGGGAAAAAGTCGCCCGCGAAAAAAGGTCATATCCCCCCTGTGGCTATCATCGCAGACGTGTGCGCCCTCACACACAAATTCACACCCCTCTGGCGGACACACGACTGGATATTATGATCTTTTTTTTTGGTTTCTGGCAGGATAGACATCGTCATCGGAATCGATTAATTATCAGTAATTCATCGGGGGTGAAAAGGAAAAGAGGATAAAGCAGACAAGGCAGAACAACACATCAAGCGGGAATCTCGATGAAAACCAAATCACAATTAGTGGTGTACTCCAGGAACCTTAACGATCGTGATAATATCAACCAGATTTCTTCGGTAAGTGGAAAGCAGGAGCCTCTCTAAACGGCTGTCTCGGGCTCCCGCTCCTCCTCGCGGCCCCGGGTCTCACCGTCCAGAGTGCTGGCGACTTCCTCACCATCCTCTACATCGTGGTGGTAGGACGAGTGCTGGTCGGCGGGCACCCACGAGTCGCGGCCCAGAGGCTGGTCCTGGCCGGAGAGGTCGACACCCTCGCGGCTCTTGTTCACGCCCTCGCGGCGACGCTGCGACAGGGTGCGCGAGCGGGTGGACAGGTTGGACTTGACCGAGGCCTTGGAGGTGACCCAGTTGGCGAGCGCCTCCTCGCAGTCCTGGATGATGGCCTTGCTGGCGTCGTAGCCGTCGTAGGCGTGGCGAGTCTCACCGGGCGTCACTGGTGTGTCGTCGATCAGATCCAACAGGTGCTTGCCGTAGCCGGCGATCAGCGCCACCTTCTCGCAGTGCTCGCGGAGCGCATCGAACTGGTACTGGAAGGCGGCCTTGAGCTTCTCGCGGGTGATGTTGGAGAGCTGGGCCTCGGCAACGAGCGACTCGGCCTCCGCGCGGACCAACTCCTGCTCCAGGACGACGATGCGGGGAGAGTTGGGGTCCTTGTACTTGAGCTTGGCAATCTCATCGGTGATCTTCTGCTTGCCTGCATTGTGGATACACGATCAGTAACTTGACTCTTGCGGCACTGGGGAAAAGGAACCTACGGTCACGGCTGGGCTGGACGGACGCCTCGATGTTGCGAATGCTCTTGATGGTAACACGGTACTGATCGTAACGATCAACGAAGAGATCCTCGAGCTCTCCAATCTCATAAAGCAAGACACCGAGCTTGTCGGTGATGTCAGACACATCCTCGTCGCAGTTCTCACCCCAGATGGAGAGTTGTTGCTACTGTTGTCAGTACAGTACCGACCAGGAACTTCCACGCAAGCGACAACGTACAGCAGTCTCCATGCGCTCCCGGGACACCATCTCCATGCTGCGCATGACGTTCTTCTCCATCTTGACGAGCTGGGAGAGCTTGCGGGCTAGGTCTGGCCCGAAGGCGCCGGCGGCGTTCTTGCGCAGGGCATGGCCTGTACCTTAATCGTGTTAGCAGGATGGGCGTCCACCATAAGAGGTCAAAGAAGAACACGCACCGAAGCCACCCTTTCCGAAGAGTCTGTTCGACTTGGTGGAGGACAATGGCGGGGGAGGGTTCTCGATCTGCGAGGCGGTGGGCACGCGCGACTGGCGCATAGAATAGGTGCGATGCATGGTGACGAAGTTGCTCGCTGTTGTTGTGAAAGCTCAAGAGAAGTGAAAAGGATAGGGCAAAGTGAGGATATGAGGAGAAGGAATCGCGGAAAAGGAATGCAGCAGAATCGGACGGTCGGGATCCTTTCTAAGACAGAGCTTTTTTTTTTTTTTTTGCGCAGGAGTGACGTGTGGCACCGAGTGCGACGGGATGCGACGGAAGAGAGACCGACGAAGGATGAGGTGGGTGGGAACTGCAACCTGTTCGAGATCTGGACTAGTGGGCTAATGATCGACTAAAAGCCGTGGATTGAGCGAGGCACTAACCGGTTAAGCGATCTGTTAAGGAAGGATCGATGACACTCTGGCGCTCTGGGTCCTGAGGATCTCCCCTTGCGGTGCAAGCGGTGCAAGCGGTGCAAGATAGAAGCACTAGAGAGTTGAAGTGGGTGTGATTGCAACGCTTTAGGGAGGCTGGTGACGTCGAGACTGCGGAGACAACGCTCTAATCCCGATTCGGTTGTGGACTCGGTCGGGCAGGAATGAGTCCAGCGAACGACCTACTGAGTACAAGTGCGTGTACTGTTAACAAGCTTGATCCAAGGGCGAATTGGCAAATCACAGCGTGCAATTAGAAGAGCTCTCGGTTATGCTCACTGTTAATTTATGAGAATGATCAGAGATACGGAGTGCAAGCAGGGGAAAGACAAAAAGCGAAACCGTCGAGGAAGGGCTGATATACCACCCTCCGTCCCCATCATCCCATCCGCGACGTCATCGCGATCCGAAGAACGCCTTCCCCATATCTGATGTCATCGATCGTTTGCTCTCGATACACTGAAGATGAAGCTGCAAATTCAGAGTTTGCACGATGCAATCAGACCCTACCGACTCGAAGCTAGTTCAGTCAAGGTTTGCATGGCTGCCTAATAGCATGGGTTTCACCTCCGGTTTGTGTAGTACAGGAAAATCGTAACCTACTTTACTGTGTACTCAGTGCTTCCCAGCCCCATGGAGACTCTCGGACCACAATTTACAATTAGTTACCCACCAAACCGTGCTCGTGAGGCTAGAGTACTGAGTACTGAGCATTCGAGATAAATTGCGAGTCTCAGATCCATGCGGGTCTATAATTTAAGCTCCTATACCGCACGCACAGATGCAGTGTTCTTTGGTCGCAGTGATCGACCATCTCCGCATTTGGACCATTCGAAACCCGATCTCCTGGTATCGCATTGCTTGGCAAACAAGAATCGGCACTGCAACATCATGACGAACGGTGGGGTGGTATCACTAGTTGTTGACGCATGACGAGAGATGATTTTTTTTTCCTTCATGCAGGCTATGATGTGGAGATCCAGGAGAAGTAGCCATTGAGTTTTGTACCTCGTTGTGCTCATCGGTTCAAGCAGCGCCTTTGGGGATGTGCCTTTTCGCAGCGACTGGCGCCGATGACATCTTTAAGCGGTCAATCTGACCTTGCCGGAGGGCCATTCCTTTTCTGCATATGCTCAGCGCTTGAGGCAAAGCTTATGGACCTCCCATTGCTCAAATTCTATCAAGGATAGCTCTTGGCTTCTTATCGAGACCACTAGATCTGCTGCTTGAAAACAGCGCCCAGCACTCTGTGAGCGAAACTTTGATCAGCATGCTTACCCCCTGTGCCTGTTGATCAGTGTCTCAAAGTTCTCGGAACAATCCGCGCATGTCTTGGATTAGTTTTAGTTCTGCAAGCATGTGTAGCTCCTTGCATCCTAGGTTGTCAGATCAATGAGGCCACGAAGAATCCTCAGAAAAGCTTGTGAATCCTTTAGGACTAAGGTCAAGCCTGACCCCACGGTCGACGGAACATATCAAGTGAGTCGTTTGCGAGGCATGACGAAAATTGTAGAACACACACGTATTGCACAAAAAACCAACCATTCGACAAAACAACCTATCGTGTCGAATTTGCATCCAAGCTTTGCGCAAGGTACATTATCGATTCATTGTTTCTGTTTGTGGTTGAATGAGATGAGCCCTCGGTCCTCCTACACAGCACATCACGTGTCGCAGCGTCTCAATAGGGAAAAGTGGGCATCCCGCACGGCTTATCTAAGCATCCTCACAATGGGTGGAAATTCTGGAATTTTGAGCGAGGAAATGATTCTCCACGCGGGGAAAAGCCACCGCTTAAGGTAGAGAGGTCAGTGACAAGCCATCTGGAACCAAGCGAACCAATGTGTCGCGCTGGTAGCATCAATGACTTCCTCCCTCGAGGTGAGTGGTTGCTCTTTTTTGCGTCGGCGACGGAGGCTGTTTGCTAATATGCGTCCAAGCACATTGACACATGCGTCCCGGTAACTGCGCTGAAGGCGCTGGTCTTGAAGGATGTTAAACTTCTTCTCCAGAGCCAAGGGACCTATGTCCGGCTCATTCATGAAGAAAGCGGGCGTCTGCTCGCCGAGCTGAAAGTGTTCAAACGAAACCACGTGCATGGGATCGTTGCACTGGGTCACTCAGAACAAGAACAACATGCGGACTTTCTTGCGTGGGGCGGGCAGTCCGTACGAGCGTTCAGTCTGCACATCGACAGTCAGGAGCTGGACGCAAGTGTACAAGCTGTGAGCCCAGAGTACCTCGCGCCGGATTGGATCCTGGCCGGATGCGCGCCTGATACGGATGGCGAAATCGAAAATGCTTATATGCTGACTGCCCACAATGCGCTCTTGGGTGTGCAGCTTGTCAGGCAGGCCGGGGCTGACTATGTGAAACGGATTGAAATCCGCCAACTTGTGGCTGGTGTCAAGTCCATCCTTTATTCGGCGAATGTGCTTTCGCTGTCCGAATCCCACATCCTTGTTGCGGCTGGCACTGTTTTTGGCGAGATTATAGTTTGGTCGTGCTTCTTGGCTGAGGATGATACGACAAGTGCAACCGGGTCGATTCACCACTTTTTCACAGGCCATGAAGGATCGATCTTTGGAGTCCAGATTTCTCCTCTGATCCCTTCCTTGCACGGGGGTCGTGATGGACGACTGCTGGCTAGTTGTAGTGACGACAGGACTGTCAGGATCTGGGACATCTCCGATTGCGAGCGTACTTCCCGTCACGACACTCCCGCCTATTCGACCGATGGGTTCGAACTTCGCGGCACAGGATTCGGCGCAGGAGCTGGTGACAATGGGCTCGGGTCCGAGTCCATTCTTGCGAGTGCGTTTGGTCACTTGGCCCGTATCTGGGGTGTTCATTTCCTGCCTGTCAAGCAAGGCCCTGGGAAAGTCAATCTGCTGTCGCGTGGCGAAGATGCTACATGCTTGCTCTGGGACCTGACCTGGGACCCGTCTTCGACAGAAAAGCCTCAATTTAACCTGGTGGAGACCATGTCTATTCGCAAACACACAGGCAAGCACATCTGGGCACTTGAGATGCGTCATACCGACACAGAAACGGTTGTCTATACCGGTGGTGCTGATGGCGCCGTGAAGAGCTTTACCATCGAACTACATGGCGATAGAGATGTCATTTTGCCCAATCTCCGTAACCGCATCGCAACATCGCTAGATGCCTCCAATCCTGAGCCTCGCATCGAGACTTCGATTAAAGGGTTCGGATTCGTCTCGCAGGACTCATTTGTCGCCACGACCGTGCGTGGTGAGATCCAAATCGGACGGATTGGGACGGGGAACTCGACTACACAGCACATCCTCAAAGAGACTTTGACGGTTGAAGAAGACTTGCGCTCGTATTCAGTCATCACGGGCTTGCCACAGAAAGGCATAGCTCTTCTGGGTAACGCCCGAGGCTTAATACGACTATATGATCACAGTACCGGAGCACTCACCAAAGTTGTCGATGCTGGCCAAAGGCCGGTGGGACTGTACGCTCTCGATTACCAGCCCAGCACGACTGAGAAATCTGCAACTTTGTCGTTCGTCGCAGTTTACCCGAAAGCCGAGAAGGCCGATCTGTTCTTGGCTACGATGGCAGACGGCGCAGATCCATGCGTGGACAGGGTCAAGCTTGACCTGCCCCACGGTTTCGGTGTGTCGACTGCAGCCTTGATCCATGATGACCAGTACCTCGCGCTGGGATCCTTGACGGGCTCCTTTGCTGTGTATCCCGTGCGAGTGTCAGAAACCCTTCGGCCAGTCATGCCTTCGTGCAAGGTACACGGACGCGAAGGACTCAGCTTCATCACTTCATTTGCATCGCTTTACGGGGATAGAGGATCTGACCTGCCATATTTCATGACCTGTGGTCGGAATGGAACGTATAGCATTCATGAGCTGGTCTTTTCATCAGGCCCGGACCCCTCGGTCTCCTTGAGAACGCTCCACTGTTCCTCCCTTGCGTTCAATTGTGAGATAGCAGGCGCTTATATCGACAACGTCTCCAAAGACTTGATGTTCTATGGGTTCCAGCCGATGGACTTTGTGCTTTGGAACGAGTCCGCTCAGACGGAGGTGGCCAGACACAACTGTAACGGAGGCCGGCGATCCTGGGCGTTCCAGCCCAGCCAAGATGTCGCTTGGGCGGGATCCTTCATCTGGATTCAGTCCGGGTTGACTGCGCTGTCGATACAGCCTGACGCCAGTCGCACGTTGCGTTCCGGAAGCCATGGCCGGGAAGTAAAGGACATGTGTGCCACGCGGAACTCGGATGGTCTAGGCCCCCTGTTTGCGACTGGCTCAGAAGACACCAACGTGCGGATTTTCGCACCTCAAGACCCGCGGTCAGAGCCCCGCTGGGGTGCGTTCAAATGCCTCCGGCTGTTGCGGATGCATCATACTGGAATCCAAAGCGTGAACTGGTCGAAGGATGGCAAATTCCTCTTTACCAGCGGAGGCTATGAGCAATTCTTCGTCTGGCGGGCGTGCTCGATTCCCCGATTCGGTCTGGGAACCATGCTGGCGGGAGAGTGTCCCAAGAGTGACCCCAACTCCGATCTGCGGGTGACGAGCTTCGATACGTTGGAAGTGGACGAGGGAGAGGCGGCGAATGGATTCCTTCTTTGTCTGACATACTCCAACTCCACCATT